TCACTGCGATGACACATTGCAAAGTTTGTGGCAGCTGGGGCCACACAGGTTCTCATTCATGACCATCAAATCTAAATCTGTCAGACCTTGTAAAGCACAATGGGACTAAAGGTGATAGTTTTCTTGACTGCATTACCACACTGATAAGACATGGTGTCACCACTATAAGATGGAATCAAGACAGTCTATGACAGTGGTGACACATGATTTCCCTTTCAAAGTTCAAGCAGCAGCCATCATTTAAGATAGAAAGGTGCGATCTTCCTGATCAAACTAATTCTGACCATTATATTTCAACGCTGACTAATCTGAAGGTTTCGATTTCCAGGTTGAAGCCAGAGAAGTCAATCATTCCCTTGCAATATAAGTTCCATACCAGTTTGAAGACTATGGATCACATTGAAAATTTTACCAGGACTATTGTATCACACTCACATTTGGTACCTTCCAACTTTCATTTATTTGGGCCAATGAAAGATGGATCTGATGAAGCTGTCATTACTACAGTGAGGAGAAAAAAAAAAAAAAGAAAAAAAAGAAAAAAAAGAGGTCATCTCCATTGTAACAAAAAAAAAATACAAAGAAACTGTTCTATGATTGACAGTAGCCTTCATTTTATTCAAACCCAAAATAAGTATAGAAGAAATGGTGAAAGGAAAAGGTTTCCTTATTGTAAGACATGCAAGCTCTGATACATTGATGGCAAAAATGCATAGTTAGAATGAAGATATTTCAATGATAATGACAACTTCAAAATTATAAATAATTTTAATTTTTGAAATGTATTGCAAAATGAGTAACTTAAACATTCTAAAATAATGCATAAAAAGTTTTTTTGGGAGAAAGAAAAAAAATAAACAAAGTTCTGAGATTCCATCAACCAAGTCAAGACTTGATTTTATTTTTCATGAACTTATAAGCTAATGTACTGAATACATAAAAAATATTGAAGTAAAGACATTGAAGTAAAGACATTTAATCCTTTCAGGATTTAAGAATGCTGACTTGTCTGGTTTTTTAAATATTTTACAAAAAGGCTGTCATCAGAAAACACAAAAATAACACAGTACTCTTTTTCCCCCCCTATCTCTGATGGGTTTGAATTTGTAATTAAATTAAATGCTGTTTGTACAGCCATGTTGGCAAAAGAAGCTTTTGTGGCCAGAGATGGAAGAGTTTTGTCAGTTTTGAACTTTGTGCAGGCGATGATGAGCAAAGTTTAATTGAAACGACAACCTCAATCCACTTGTGTGTCCATCCCCTTTTTGGCAAGCAGCCTTGCAACTATAGACAGTTGATTAAGTTTAAGAGAGAATTTCTAAAGCACAAGTTACTTTTTGTTCTTGCCAACCACATAAACAGGCAAGAGAAAAGGAAGGGAAAAAAATTTGGTCAGTGTTCAAACACATTTGTGTACACACTTTTCAAACATCTATTTTATTTACATCAAGGTGATAAAGTTGTAGTTTTGGAAAATATATGTTAAGACTTTTGTAAATGCTCTTTCGAATTTTTTTTTTTGTTTTTAAAGAAAAAGTTCTTGGATGGGGTGGAGACTTTGTGCAAATAGTAGATGCCCTACATCTAGTAAATATGGGTAAGTTAAGTCAAGATGGAAGAAATATGGAAAGATTAAGTTAGAGCCTATATAGACATTTTGTACAAAGTTAACTATTTTCTAATACATGTAATTATTTATTTCTCATTAGTCAATTGTGGCTATTCCATCTAGCAATGGATCAAAAGGGTTTTTGTGTAAATTGTTCTTAACTTGGCTTTTTCTGTCATGTTCCAACCATTGTACTCTTTTGCTACGACTGTTTTCTTCAGGGAAAGTCAATGTATTTCTGGATTGCTCAATCACAATGGACAAAGGCAGTGGTCTCATTTCTTGGATGCTACAAGTTCAACCCTTGACACAAAGAGAAAGATTTAAAATCCCAACATAATGTGTCAACTGTAACAACAAAGAATAAAACATTCTTTAAAAATGATTGGATATGGCAGACATCTGAAGAAGGTCTGAAAGTATAGTAGCCAAAATAAAAATGACAAAACAAAGAAGAAAGAGAAAAAAAAAATGGCCTAACAGCAAACTTACCTATTCAGTAAAGTGCTCAGATTGTCTAGACCAAGCAAAGAATGCTTAGCCACATTAAATCCTATGAAAGGATAGGTTTAGTCATTAATAGTTTCACACTCACACAATTTTCAAGTCATCTGAAGATCATATGAGCTTGAAACTTGATTTACAACTAGAGCCACCCTTTCATTAAATTTAAAGGGTGTGTGTGTGTATATACAAATACACACACATACATACATACATACATACATACATACACAGATATATACACTATTCATTTTTCCACCCCAGTTTCAATGAAATGGATTTCAAATTTTACAAGTAAGATTTAAATGAAAAGATATGCCTCCTTTTATCTTGCTAAATTGAAGATCTGGACATGTTTTTTCTTACTAATCCAATTAAAGTATTCACTAATAATCAGTGCAAATACCTACATACATGTACAGATGCATAAGTACATGTTCACACACAATACATGCCTTTGCATACAAAACATTTGCTCACAATACAACCCTTTTACACACACACACATATATATATATATATATATATATAAAATTTGGTTTTTATGCTGTTGCTGTCAAAGCAACAAATTGTTTATCATTCAAACTTGTCTCTTGCATATGTCAATATCCATATACTTATACACATGCCTATCCCTACATGATATTTCTTTAGTCATGAGAGGGAAAGCAAATTAAGATCATCATCATCATCATTTCTTTGACAATGGAAAAGAGCAAGTGTGCCATTGATTAGTTGTGTGTCTGAGTCTTTAGGAGAGGGGAGGACACACCTTGTCATTATGCAGATGAGGACGAGTACTGCAGCAAAGTGCTACTCTCTCCAGTTTACCAACTATTGATTTATATTCTGTAATAGCAGACAAGGCAGTTGGGGTAATGGGAGTAGTAGTTGTAACAGAGCAGCAGGTAAGTATTGTGCTGATGTTTGGGTGAAAAGATGAAGATTAAAAAAATATTGGTGGGGGAACAATTTAAAAAAAAAGAAAACAACTGGTGAAATGAGCATTATGAATGGCGGGTGGGTTGGAAAAGAGGAAGGAGCTGGAAAAGCAATAGTTGAATAAGTGATCTTTTTTAAGTGAGCAGGCAACAAACTATGAAATGTGCATTTTTCTGGCACACTGACAGCTAAAGAGGTCATATCAATACAATCAGCTTAGAATTATATATATATATATATATATATATATATATATATATATATATATATATATATATATATATACATACAGAGACTACATTAGGTAATCAAAACAAAATCCTAATATATAGAAATAAAAATAAAATATCACTATATATAATAAAACTGAGAACAGTCTCAATGCAGCCTCAGAAGTAACTGCATTGCAAACCCAGATGAGGTGGTCCACTTTCTTGTTGGTTACTAATAGAAAACTGTATTCCTGCATCTCCTCCAGAGGTCAGTGTACAATGAGGGGAGGTGGAGGGGCTATGCTGATGTCACAGGTATTCATAGTTAGGATAAGATCAATCTTGAACAACAAAAATCAACATCAACTACCAAGTGTTCCAAAAAATATAGGTCTTATGATAAACCTTTTCAAAAGAGAAATTATGATTTGGAATTGAAATAAAAGGAGTGATGGTACTTTGAATCCATCATTAAAATTCAGGCTGTAAAATTAGTAAATACTAAAGACTTCAAATACCTCAATGTATGGATCAGTCATAACAAATTTAGGATAGTATAAAAGGAAATTGAATATAAAATAGGCTACACTAGGCGTAGTTTTGCTCAACACTGCAAGCTGCTATAAAAGTAAAACATTAACCTAAGAACTTGACTCTAGTTCTTAAATAGCCTCATCAGATTTAGACTTTCATATGAAAGTCATACATAATGCCAAATGTATTCAGAAATATCTAAACTGTCAGCTGAATACAACCACTTTCTCAGATTGATGATTAAAAATGGCTTTGAGCAAATAAAACTCATAGGTCTTAGCAAGGACCTTTCTTCTTTGAGCTCTGTGGACTGGCATTATAGATTCATTAAATAACAAAAATCACATCACTTGAGGACTTTCAACAGCAGCAACAACTAAAATGAATAGCACATGTAACTCAGAGAAAACAATGATATAATCAAGATGTTACCAACCTACACTATTTCAAAAGATTAGGGAGCCCCCATCAATACTGGAAAGAGCGATAACAGATAGTAAAGTTGAAAATCCTATTTTCCTGAAAAATTGTTTTAATGGAAATTTTTTTATAAATTTCAACTGAAAGTAGCACTGGCTGCTCAGTCAATGAATGCCAAATTACTTATAAATAAATGATTAATATTAGCATTACCATCACAACCATGGAAACAACCTTTAATCATGTGAATCCACAGGTTGATCTTCCTCTTGAAGTAACCCCATACATAGTAACCAAAGGGACTCAAATCAAGAGGAATAAGAGGCCACATGTTGAGAGTAAAATGACTTTGAAAATTCTTAGCCAAATGAAAGGAACAAAGACCTGCTGAAATATAAGGATAATCTCTGATTCAAAGGTTTACTCCTGTTTCTGGCACTTCAATGTCATTGACCTTGAAGGAACCAGTGGGATTGGCATGAAATGGTTTCTATTGCTCAAAATCCCTAGGGCTATCATAAATGATATGAAATTGGTACACATCCTTGAGACTACCTCCATTCAAGCAGCTTTCTCTCAGAGACATTATCATTAGAAGCTAGGAGGCACAAAAACAGCATGCCTTTTCATTTCTTGTGCCAGATCAGAATCTTTGAAAGAAAAATGAGAAAGTTAAAAGAATGATCACAGATAACTGATGAAATAATAATATACACACAATCATTCTTAGCTTGACCAAAAAAATTTTCAAAAACACTCATTTGGTCAGATTTTGAAAGTCAGCAAAGCTGAAAAATTTTCAGAGGGAGAGAGGAAGAGAGAGAGAGAGAGAGGGAGAGAGGAAGAGAGAGGAAGAGAGAGGGAGAGAGAGAGAGGAGAGAGAGAGGAAGAGAGAGAGAGAGGGAGAGGAGGAAGAGAGAGAGAGGAGAGAGAGAGGGAGAGAGGAGAGAGAGGGAGAGAGAGAGAGAGGAGAGAGAGGAGAGAGAGGAAGAGAGAGAGAGGAGAGAGAGAGGAGAGAGGAAGAGAGAGAGAGAGAGAAGGAGAGAGAGAGAAGAGAGAGAGAGGAGAGAGAGAAGAGAGAGAAGAAAAGAGAAGAAAGAGAAGAAAGAGAAGAAAAGAGAAGAAAGAAGAAGAAGAAAAGAGAGAAGAAAGAGAGAAGAAAGAGAGAAGAAAAGAGAGAAGAAAGAGAGAAGAAAGAGAGAAGAAAAGAGAGAGAGAAGAAAAGAGAGAGAGAAGAAAAGAGAGAGAGAAGAAAAGAGAGAGAGAAGAAAAGAGAGAGAGAAGAAAAGAGAGAGAGAAGAAAAGAGAGAGAGAAGAAAAGAGAGAGAGAAGAAAAGAGAGAGAGAAGAAAAGAGAGAGAGAAGAAAAGAGAGAGAGCGAGAGAGAATTAAATTTGACTGACAGCTGCTTGATTTGTGTATGGCAATGCAACAGGATGTAGCTGTAGTAGGTCATATTCAACGACATCAGGACAACAACAATGCAAGCAACAGCTGAGAACTGCTGTGATGGTGATCGGCTGATGGCAGGGCATCTGATAAATAATTCAATCAATGGATGCTCCTATGAGTCAGTTGTCAGGATGTAGCAGTAGCAAGACAAAAGTAAAAGTAACGGACATATCAATAAAAGGGAAGCAAAATATTCAAACCAGCCAACACTTGCCCAACAGCAGCAGCAAAATTTTTACAGCTTCTACTGCTACTGTTGATAATGATGATGATGCAGTTAAGCATTCACCATTTGTGCAAACAGGTTAGTCTGTATTTCATATGGTGTCTGCACATGGATGGAAAACTCCTTTTCTCACACTGACGCTGTTGTCTCCTCTTCAGAAAATGCCCTGAAGCAATATTGCTATAAAAGGAGGCTGGGATTAAAATGTTGCTTTCAAAGCACAAGACATGAAAAATTATTATTGATTATTAAAGATAAAATTAATCATGAAACTAATGACAGTTTACATTTCAGAATATTTGGAAATTAAAGATTTAAATTCAAAATTTCCCCTACATCTAAATTTACATTTAATTCATGACAATTCCTAAAATATATAAAATTTGGAGATCTGCCATTTGTAATAATATTTGATTTTATAATAAAGCAATGAATTATTAACTGAAAAGTCTGAGGTTCTCGTCCACATGCCGGCTTCGTAAATATTACTGGAAACCCAAAGAAAGTAATGTGGTTTCAAAATTAAATTTTCTTCTATCAAGTATCCTTGCGTAAATTCTATAATATTCAAATGATACAACTCATACGAGGCTTGATACTTCATTTTTATTTGTAAATAAAAGTGTAATTATTGATAGAGAAATCTATAACTAAAAGATGGAAGTGTCCTTATGACTTAATCATACATACTCTTTAGTAAGGAGGAGCAATCATGGTATTTTAACTTATCAGGTTGCATAGGAAGACATCACAAAGGGAAGAGAAGCCAATTAAGAGTTTCAAAAGACTACTAAAAAAATGTGTGGCCGTATGCACACATGTAAGAAAAGTGCAAAAAAAAAAAAAAAAAAATCAAGCACAAAAATGTTTTTTAAACAAATCATGTCATATCTTTTTATGATTGAGCACTTCAACATAGTATAATGGTTAGCATGTTTGCCTCACTAGATCAATTACGACTGAGTAGTGAGTTTGATCCTCACTAGATGCTCCAGACTTTTGGCCTTGTGCCACATCTGAGCTACACTTAGAAAATCCCCATATCTTTCTATGGTTTGCTCAGAAAACATTTCTCTAAATATACTGGCAAAACCAACAAAGAAAAATAATGTCAAAGCTTTTGTCTGAAGATAAAATAAATGTGCTAAGGAATTTAAGCCTTCAAGGTCAAAAGTCAATGGAAATTATAACCAAAAGTTAATCTATAAAATTCAATGCATGAATAAATATAGTGATCTGACCTTGGACTGAAATGGTTCAAATCTTATTTTGCATTGTAGTAACAAAAGAGAAAATAGATTGTCAAGATAGGAATAATAGTAACTCCATTATGTCTTAATCAAAAGAAATGACAATTTTTATAATAAACAAGTAAGGTTACTTGACAATGCCCCACTAAAATGACTTTCATAAGTGAGCATTATCTAAGAAAAAAAATTTAAGTAGGTGGGAAAGACGAGACTTGATATATTAAAAACAAAAATCAGCATTTTGTGCTATGTTAAATTGTTTTGATTTGTTGAAATGAAAAAAAAAAAAAAAATCTAAATCCGAGACCATACTGCACAAATCTATATTCAAATCTGCCTTATCAAATCAACTCGGAAACAAATAGACATGGACGAAAATATTATCTAAATTATGAGTATTTTTTTTAATTAGCTGTTTGAAGTTTAAGACATGGATTCAATATTTCATGCTAAATTAGTTATTAGAATATTGCTGTCACATCTGGTCCGGTTCCCTGCCAATTTACCTAGAGTTCCTTGATAAAATCCAAAGAAGAATCAGTAATATTATTGGTCCTGATCTGGTGGTTCAGATTCCGTCACTTACCCACCACCATAAGATTGCATTTCTCTGTCTTTTCTATAAATACTTTTATGATACTTGTTCAGATATACTCTTCGCCATAGTACCTAGACCTCATAAATTTAAATGCAGTTATAGACTGGCATCAAGATCTCATCAATTTACAGTTGAGCTGGCTAGATGTAGCCATAAGTTCTATGCTAACAGTTTCTTTTCTTGCACTTCTCGTTTGTGGAACTCCCTTCCAGTTCCATGCTTTCTATCCAACTTTAAACTGCAAAAATTTAAATGCAATGTCAATTGCTATTTACTGTCCTCCTGATTACTCTTTTCTCTTTCTGCTCATTATTAATGTTTCTGTTCCTAATTACTCCACAACACCCTTTGTGTTTTAGTGGCTTTACTGCCATGCATGGGTGATACCAATAAAAAAAAAATACAGATACATTCCTAATGAGTGTGAATATCACTGTTTAAGAACTGTCTTTGAAATATTTTACGAAGAAGTGGGGGTTAATTATTTCTGATTGTCAATCTCATTCTCCTTGTATTACTACTACGTCAAGTAATTATTTAAGAAACGATGATAGCAATTTTAATTTGCTTTATTTTCAGAAGATAATTTTTACAACATGAAATTACCAACCTTTCGGCCTTACACTATTTTATTAATCCTTTGAATCCTGGCCCCCTGACAAGTACAGATCTTTCACCCTGGGCCCCTGCTGTCTATGAATATGTATACCAGTCACCCAGGTATATGCACTTTCACACAGCAGCTGGTATACAAGCCACTTGGGTTCAAAGGGTTATTGATGTACAAAAATTTCCAGCCTTTTTTTCTTTTTAGAATTGTTTTGTATTTTCACTATTTAGTTTTCAAAAAGAGGGTGCTGGGAACTTTTGAAAGATGAATAGTAGAGAAGTTAAATTTATCTGAAGAGCCATGTCCTTTCAGGATTTGAGTATGGCTCTCAACAGCTTCCTCTTAATATTTAAACAGTGCAAAGTCATCATTGATGAGTTAAGACTAATATAGAGATCATTATCTACATCAGTGGTTCTCAACCAGGGTCTACATGGACCCTAGGGGTCCATGTAATATTTCCGGGCGTCCACAGGCAAAACTCAATTGTTGTGTTAATTAAAAATAGTAATAATAATTATTATTATAATTATAGTAGAATATTTTATTTGTATTAAATTAGTTTTCATTTAAAAATAAAGCTTAATTGTATACTATTTCTTTGATAATTAAAACCTTAAAATTTATATTAGTGAAGAATAGAAAATTGTTCTTATGTCCAATAGCTATGAAGGGGTCCACCAAGATAAAAAGAAGGGGAAAGGGGTCCATGGGTAAAAAAAGGTTGAGATCCACTGATCTACATAAATAAAGTCTGGTGTGGGCTAAAGAATATTTGCATGAACAAGTAATGTAATTGCCTTACTGACCACCTGATGACCACTTTGGTTTCAAGAACACTACTGTAATGCGCTTTCATTATGTATTCAAGACAAACTCTCAGAATACTATTAATAAAAGCTTTATGAACTAGAGTCACCTTAGAACTCTGCAAATTATAATTTAAAAAAAAAAAAAAAATGTTTTTAGATTTCAGCATTTGAGAAGACATCTAAGAATAATTTATCATCTTCCTCATTTGAAGAAAAAATATATATTCACTTACAAGGTTGAGTGTAAACAGATTTCAAGTGGTGATAAAGTTCTATTGTAGATGAGTCACTTATCTGAAGCTGCAACACTTGTGTAAATAAGAAAAATACGATGTCAAGCTTTTCATGAAAATGCTTCAAGAGAGATGACTAATTTGACTGCTACCATCATGACAAAAAAGAAAAATCTCTCAATGACAATATTTGTCTGGCATCCAAGAGGAATAAGCATAAATACAATGAAAACCCTCAATTATATGCAGTTGAACAATACAAAATGGAGGGGGTAGCTAGAGGAACAATGAAAAGGAGAAAGAAAGGGTTTGTATTCTCAACAAAGTGGTCTTCAAATAGATGGAGAGGCCAAGTATTCAAGAGAGGTGAGGAGAAATGTAAAATCAAGAGATCAAAGTCATTAAATGTTTACAGAAAAAAAAAAGTGTCAAAGTCTGAAATGTCCAAACAAAAAATTATTAATACCTTTATCACTGATAGTATACATTATACTAAAAGAGACCAACATGTAGTTTTTGAATGGTTTCAATAATATTGCAATATTTAATTTTGTAATTTCAGAAATCCTATAGATTTATGAAATTTCAAAATTAAGATTTTCATTATTCAACATTTTTTTGTCAAATGTCACCTTAACCTACCACGGGAGGAGGAGAGGGGAGGGGGAAGAAAGACCACGGGAGGTGGAGAGGGAAGGGGAAAGAAAGACCACGGGAGGTGGAGAGGGAAGGGGAAAGAAAGACCACGGGAGGTGGAGAGGAAGGGGGAAAGACCACGGGAGGTGGAGAGGGAAGGGGAAAGAAAGACCAGGTGGGGAGGTGAGAGGGAAGGGGAAGGGAAAAGACCACGGGAGGTGGAGAGGGAAGGGGAAAGAAAGACCACGGGGAGGTGGAGAGGAAGGGGAAAAGAAAGACCACGGGAGGTGGGGAGGGAAGGGAAAAGACGGGAGGTGGAGGGAGGAAAAAGAAGGAAGGGGAAAGAAAGACCACGGGAGGTGGAGAGGAAGGGGAAAGGACCACGGGGAGGTGGAGAGGGAAGGGGAAAGAAAGACCACGGGAGGTGGAGAAGGGGGAAAGACCACGGGAGGAGGTGGAGAGGAAGGGGAAAGAAAGACCACGGGAGGTGGAGAGGGAAGGGGAAAGAAAGACCACGGGAGGTGGAGAGGGAAGGGGAAAGAAAGACCACGGGAGGTGGAGAGGGAAGGGGGAAGAAAGACCGGAGGTGGAGAGAGGGAAGGTGGAAAGACCACGGGAGGTGGAGAGGGAAGGGGAAAGAAAGACCACAGGAGGTGGAGAGGGGAGGGGGAAGAAAGACCACAGGAGGTGGAGAGGGGAGGGGGAAGAAAGACCACAGGAGAAACAGAAACAAACTAAGAAAATCTTTTATTTGAATGACTGTCACAAATATATAAATCTCATAACAATCATCTCCAAGTTGAAAGCCTACAGCCTGACTGTAAAATTCTGAACAGCAAATTTGTTGAGACAATGTAAACATGTCAAGAGCAGGCAACTAAATTATAACAATAATCTAAAATAAATAAAATTGCCATATATATTTATAATTCTCAAAATGTGTGTGTATGTGTGTGTGTTTGTGTGTGTGTGTGATCAGAGCTTGTTTATGCATTTCCACAGTTTATCAGATTTTGATGAAATTTTTTTGTTTGATAGGTAATACTTCAGTGCCGGTTTGAGTCCAAATTGTTGGCAATAATGGCTCTCCACTACTTTCTGTCCATTATAACTCTCAGCAACATTTTACTATTTACTATCTGTGCTTGGATATATATCTTTCATAAAAACTTTAATAAAAATAAATAGTTTAAATTGTTACAATAATTATTTATTATTATTATACAGTTCCCTTTTCAAGGGCACATTCCCCAACTCAAATTGTTAATCCCCTCTATTTGGGGATGTGCCTCAGTTGCACCCAAATGTTGTTGCTTATATTGATTTTCGGGTAGGCTGACTAAACTTAAACTGCTCCAACTGAACAGCAAAAATTGCCAGTAATGAAAGACCCAGGCAAAGACGTGTTATACTGTTGGTTCTAGAAAGGTAAATTCATGAATATGAGGATATAAATTCCTTTAATTCAAAGAACCATTTCAAAGTTTATATTGCCAAGAAAAAACATAAAAATCAATATTTTCATTAATTAATACGTTAATCTTTTTACATTTAGCAATTAAAAGACAACCTGGTATATGTACATATAAAAATATTGATATGGTTAGCAATTATGTTGTTGGTTTGTGAGGCAAAATGGAATTTAAAAAGCATTAATCAACTGCAACAAAGGATTTATGATAATTAATCCCAGAGAAATCTATTTATTCCATTGTACCAACAAACACATTAAAGTGCAAAAGACCATTTTCAGAAAAATTCTATTTATGAGAATTTGGATTCAAAGAATCTAATTATTTCTCCTGGGCCTCAGCTAATGAATTATTCTGGACATATAACTAATGAATCTTGGAACCCTACCTACTAATATTTTATTGTAATGATTTATTAAAATAAGCCTAATTTGTTTTAATTAGAACATTATGCAGTAGAAAAAAACAAGACTAAAATTAATGGCTTTCTCATGGAAATAGACTTTTTTTTTTTTTAAATACTAACTAAAAAAACAACACTAATTCTGGGTGAAGCTGTTGCATTTACTTTCACACTATTTCACTTGGGAGAGGCATGTATCTGTTTCTAATTGCCTACTCACCTAGGAGTCAAATACAGTAGACCGAGTTCTCTAGTCAAGAGTGGCAACCACCCTAATAGAAAGAAATCTGAATTCCAATGGGGGGAACCCTGCCGCTATATGTTATAAGAAGGCATGGCAATTCACAGATAATAAAGAAAAGCCATTTGTGGAGAGTCATGATAATCTATGTCCTGAAGGGATATGCAAAATGGTAACTAACACTTGTTACTCAAACTGTTCTAGCTACATCTACACAGTAAAGCAACTAACAATCGGTAGCAACCAACCTAAAAGAAGGAAATCTCAATCCTACTTAAGTAAAAATGTAACTCACTAAGAGAAGAGCAAGAAAATATAAAATGACTGAAAATCATTTAAAGAATATTGCATGGTATTGAATTCAGTAAAGCATTTCAAATCTATTGAAATTGAACCTTTTTTCCCTAGATGAAATTTTTGATATTTGTCTATTTTTTAAAAACATACACTGCAATAATTGATGCTCAAATGTTCACAATGAAATAATAACAATTGTAGGAATGACATGCAGGAAATGCTGCTATCTAAACCATTAGTGGTTCTGAGAACAAGAAACATTTTAAAGCCATATAATTAAACACATTAAACACCTAAGTAAATTAAAGTCATATAATTAAACACAATCACATTAAACATTTTGAAGCCATATAATTAAACAACTGTAAGATAAATCAAGAAGTCTATTCACAAAACTGTATTTTAATCATGAGAGAGGCTGTTAAAATTTTTTTTCTGTTTTTCTACAGTATGTGTATTTGTGTGAGCATATATTTTATTTGGATATGAAAGTAAAGCTAGCAGATATAGATTTGTAGCTGTGCCAACAAGAGATGTGCATTCCTTAAGTAGATAAATTGAAGTTGAATCTCTATCAAGATGGTTTCCCATGGCCAAATTGGTAGTCAAACATTTTGGCAACTAGAGCAGTTTCCCTGACCGAAAAAAGGAATACAGGTACAATTTTTCTTTGATCTAGGTCAGATGTTATTTATTTTGCTGTTTAAAAAATCAAAAACGGGGATATCAAGTCAAACTCCAAAAATAAGGTTTTATAAAATAAATATATATATATATATATATATATATATATATATATATATATATATATTTTCTTGAATATTACCTGCTTACTTTTGTCTTACCAGACTTTGAATTATGACATTTAGTATCCTCCACATTTTGATTCACCTTTCAACCACCTGATGAATATTCATGAACGTTCTCAAATTTAAAAGCTTTAATAAACCAATGACATCCTTGCTCTTATATATAAATATATGCAACAAAATAAATCCTTTTGTCTTGATAAAGTCCCTCAAAAAATGAAATGCATCAGCTATGAATAGTTTTTCCTTTTGTATATATATATATATATATCATTTAAAAAAAATTATAACAAATAGGTTATAAAATCACTACAAAAATAGCCATTTTGTTTCAACACCTCCGGTGTCTTGTCAAGTGATGATGTTGAATGAAAATAAATGGTTTTAAAAGTTTCAAATTAATTAACGATCCTTCACAAGGGGAAAACATTGTTACAAAAGCTAGAATGACCAATCAAAATACAAGTATAGGAAAATTATATTGTGTCAAACTGAACACACAATAGTCAATCTGTATTTTGGTCTTTCTGAAGATTGGTTAGATGATGTTTGTGTAGATGCTCTACTCATGCTTATTTCCTGAAATGGGCTGACACATTCCTGGGTCGCTCGGTAAAGTCACTGAGAATTTGTTCCATTTCCTCCACCCAACGCTTGCAAATAACAGATGTCAAGAAATCTTACTGAGGAAAATAAGACCTCGCCAGCAGGACTCAGACCCATATCTCCCTTTGAGAATCTGGGACAAGAAGGATTGCACTTAAAAGGCAGTATATGGCCTTGCTTGCTCAAGAATGCCTTCCATGCCCAAGTCAGTTAAAAGCACATCAGAACGAACAATGGTTTCCCCAGCAAAGTGGGACACAGGTTCAATTCTTGCTGGAGGGGGGATATTTTTCTTTAAGATTTCTCGAATATTCAGTCCGGTTGACAAAGATAAATATACTGTTTAAAATAAACAGAACGTCTATTTAAATATGAGTATCTAATAAAAATAATGTTTAAAGTGAGATATATATATATATGCTATTTATCTAGTATAAAAAATACCTTCAATTAGTCAAACATAAATGCTTTTGCATCTAGGTCATGGCTATAGTTACTATGATGTAATCAGATTGTTCACAACAAACAGTAGTAAGAAGTAGGTATAAAGCTACAGATATATAATCAGTGTTGGTGACACCATTTCATTTAGAGGAAAACACACTTACCTATTTGTCGTTCAATATCAGCCGCTTCATCAGGAGTGGCTCGGGGAATGACTCCAGGATCACTAAAACTAGTTCGGAACAACGTAGAGATGACAAACAAAAACAAGGCTGCTCCAAAGGCTGGAATTGCAGGGGTTACATTGACAGCCAGGTATCGACAGCTAGAAAAATAAAAACAAGAAACCTTATTTAGGAATTATTTTAAAATTCAGACATAACTAAAAATATATCTGTAAAAAGACAATATGAATAAAGAGAAAAGGAAAACTCATCCTCTGATGGACTTTATCAAGGCAAATGTAAAGATTTATTTTTCAACAAGAATTTATAAACAAGTAAAAATGTTAACTTTTCAGAGTTTTTTTAAATTTAAGAATACTAATAAATATACTTCTGTCTAATTTACTTATGTTTATAAATACTTGTTGCAAAATACATCCCTACATTTACCTTGATAAAGTCCATCAGAGGACAAAATAAGTTGGCTAAGATAAATGTTCCTTTTAGGCAGGTAGGTAGATATATAGATATGTAGGTAGGTTTTCAAAAGTGAAAAAAGGGGGAAAATCATCAGTTGTATATCACATTTTCATGTCATTATTGGATTTGAGGTGATTATATTTAAAGACAAACAGCTATTGGAAGGTGCTTTTGATATTCCAAAAAAATGTTCATATCTATTTTTAATGAACTTAAGGAACATTGTAATCAAGCATTTTAAATAAAGTTACTTTTCATGCAAAACTGAAATGAAATGGTTCATATTTTTTTTGTATTTGCAAAAGCAATGGTATATGTTCTCAGAGATTATGATACCCACCCCGCCAACAATAAAATGTATGATTCTATTTAAGTAATAAATACAGAAGTTTAAAAAATTGTTTGACTAGAGAAATTTTGAGAGGACACTGATGTAGATAGTTTGAATAAATAATTTTTTTCTTCAAATTAAGTATAAAATAGAAACCATTTTCTTTCAAGAATTAGATTACTAGCAGAAATACCCAGTTTTATTGGGTTTCTAAATATCCAAGATGAATACTTGCACGCATTCACAAAAATTTGTATCAATTACTTTAACACATTAATGCCCATCATTCCAGTTGAAGAAATTTAGTGATTGTTTTCTATGGCTTATCAACTCTTTGCAGGTCATTTAAAGGCTGAAAATATTTTTAGATAAGTTTTTTTTTTTTTTTTTTAAGATAATAATCGTTTAGTGATACAAGTTTTATCAATTAAACTATAACCTTACTTGAGAGTATTTGCATGTAAGTGAATATAACAAACCCAATTGGGATTAGAACGAACTCTGCTCTCCAATTAAGCCATTATCTGTTATACCACCTGCACATCCAAACTTACATCTAGTATTCCCAAGCAGTTACCCAGTTAGGTACTAGCCAGGCTTAACATTGCTTCAGTGATTGTATAGCCATTAATAAATTTACAGATAGAAACCTATAATGCCAAATATTTTTTTTCTTTGTTATTATAAAGCTATAATTAATACCAGATTTTATTTTAATTTTATAATTAATACCAGATTTTACAGTGAACAACCACAGGTTAAAAGAAAGTTGAAAATCTTTGTCTTATCAGTTGATTCTATCAGAATTGTCATTGCCAAGCAAGCAATTCAGAAAACAGCTTTATTTTGTTATAAAAATCTAAGTCTCCTCTTACATTTGAAAAATCTCACTCAAAAGGAATTAATTTATATAATTACTCTATGTAAATTTATTAAATATCAATGACATTATTTATTCCTATTTATTCCTATTCATGCCTTTCCAAAGACTATTGTTTCAATTGTAGTTTGCCAATTCTATTTTACAAGCTGCTTGTTACTGGCATCTTTTACAAGTAAATTTTTACATAGATGTTTATAATTAGGGCATTTCCAGTTTATGCATAAAAAGATGTACCTATTTGCCATTCAGTTAGAAATAGCAATTTTGACCCTAAATTGGCTTGTGGCAAAAACTAATGACTTTGGAGGTTAGTACCACTTATTCCTTGTTCATCATTCAGTGAAGTTACCTGTAGAGACTAATTTTCAATCCTGACAATTTCAAGCCTTGTTGTTAACTTGGTATAAAATTAAATTTGAGATGAATCATTCAAGTTACATATCAAATGAGAATGTTCTTCCTGGCTTTCCAGCAAAATAAGGCCTTATAAGAGAAATAGTATTGATAACATCAGGAAGCTGGTATTTGATATGGAATGAACAGACATAATCAGGCATATCAACATCTATATATCAAAGTCTGGGAACATCAATTTTTTTTCTTTTACATTAAACCATTATCAAGCCACTGTCTCTATACAGAGGGTAAAAAATCTTGACACTACATAATATCTCCCCCCTTATCACAACAAAAAGAAAGTGAAAATGAGAAATGATAATTTTATATTTATATGATACCCAACATTGTGTGGGCCAAGTCTATTTTTCCTTTTCTCTATTGCACAATGCAGTTGTTTGATAAACATGATATTAGCAAAATTGTTGCAAATAGGTTTAAACATCTTGTGAGCCATTTAATTTATAAATGGTATATCATTATAATTTATATTTGCCAGATTTTCAAAAATAAAAAAAAAAAAAAAAAAAAAAATGGCTTCCTTTTACTTTCAAGCTGTGATCTAAATGCTAAGGTATTAGAGTGAAATTAATAAATTTAATCATAGAAGCCATCAATAAAACAATTACTTATATTTAAAAGATCCCAAAGGACCAGATTGGAAATTAATGAAAAAAGTTATTTTTAAAAACTTGATTTTTTTTGCTGAATAAGCAAATTAGTTATCTCAAACAATGACTACTAATGTCCTCATCTTTGTTGTTATTACCACAACATTTTGGCAGTTGTGTCCTCTGGCTTTCTTCAGGTGTCTATCCCAGAAGACAACAGCGTAAAATAGTAAAACATTGGTTTGTAAATTTGGTAGCATAGTAATTGTGAGTTTAATCCCTGGGTAGGGCAGGAAAGACCCAGACTTAGTGAAAACAGAAGAAGCAATAACAGAACAGAGAGAGATCCGTTGACATGAACAATCTACCCCTATAAAGTGAATAAAGGCATCAGTTCAAAATTCCCTGAAGGTTAGCTGAATTGACAGATATCTGAGGGCCACCAAAGAACATAATAGCCAAAACATTGTAATAACAACAAAGATGAGGACATTTAGTTTAAATGTAAACCATAATTTCTCATCCCATAAATTCATATAGAGAAAAGAATTACTAATTCAGGCAATATATAAAATGTATGATTGCATATATAAATGGTAAAACTGTTTGTCACAGTCTGACATAATATTTATGAACACAAAAAGACAACCAAATTTAATTCTTAAGATTTTAAGGGAAAACATATACACAAACTGAGCCTTATATATTCAAAAACTTTGGAAAGAAGTTTTATATTTTGGAGAAAATGAAAGGTTTTCTGTAATAAAGTCAGAGTACAGAAGCAGGTCAGTTAATTAGATGAAATCATAATATACAAAATTCCAAGTGAGGTAGCTTAAAACAAGTAGGTCTAAGTAGAATTAATTGGATTAGTGTTAATTAGGCTGTAAATAGAATTATAGGTGTTAGTATGCATTTATATAAACATAATAGTAACTGGTTTGTCATGATAAGGTAGTAAGATAAGAAACTATGATAATAGAAGCTGGAGAAAGAGAATAAAGACTAAGGCTCATTTAAATATCTTTCACTTAACTATTGACAAGAGTCATGTGTTTATAAAATCTGGAAAAGTCACATGACAAAAAATTAAAAACAAAACAAGTGGCATGTACTGCCATTTAGACTAGTTTTTGTTGGAATTTCCAAGACAAGGAATTAGTATTCGCTGATAACAGCTGGGAATTTTAAGCTTGTTCTCGCAGAAGGTTTAACCCTTTAGCATTCGACACAATCAAACCCACCATATTGGCTCTTAAAGTCACTGTTTGCATGACTACCTATGTTATTTGCAATGATGTTGTCATATATTATGACAGAGTATATATATGAAGTGGGTTGCGGTGGGTTGAACAGTGAGAGCTGATATTTACAGAGCAGTTTGAATGCTAAAGGGTTAAATGGGACTTTTAGCTCCCAATAAGAGATCATGAATCTGAACCCTATATTTACTGAATCATAGATTATTTGAAAATCTTTGCCATTATGAACTCTTTGTTTACATTTAAATATCTGAGATGAATATTTCACAAAAGATTTAAAGTACAGTTAAAAAAAAATATTCAGTTTAACTAACTTAATAGATACAATGGTCAGTAAGTTTAGCATTACAATTTTAAATTGAATCACTCCCTAAAATATTTCTAAAAATGTTGAAATTTTCAAAAAACTAATGTCCCATTAGTAATCACAGAAAATTTGGTGACCATAGTCAAGCCCTCAAGATGTGATAAGAGAAAGTCACTTCCCATCACACACACAAATAAACAAAATGATTTAAGGTTTACACTTGATTCATTTAAGCTAGTGATTTGATTTGGGCCATTGTATTCTCTGACTTTCTTTAGGAGAACAGGAAGACCATGTTATCTGAATATTTGATTTGAAATTCTGAGAATATTACCAAATACAACAGAAGGCCAAAGAGTAGAACAGCCAAAATATTGTATCTATAACAACCAAGTTGATGATCGCTTAAATCAATCTATAATTTTTGTTACGTGTTGATAATTGTAACAAAGGAAAAAAAAAATGATTTACCACAACACAGAGCTAAATCACAAACAAATATTTAATTTACTAAAACAGAACATAAAATATAGACAGGATAAACAATTGTGGCCTACAAAACAGAAAACACAGAGTTACCGACGGAGTGTTACGAGGAAGAAGGAAAGGGAGTCAAATATCTTTATCACTTTAGGGCTAGTGAAGTAATCTAAGTGCTATATTTGGAAATCCACAAAGGTGTGTAAATAAATATTAATTTTTAGTTTGGTCAATGAAAATTAGTCAAAATTCTATTTACCAAATTTGTTCCATGAAATTCTCTTTTGGGTTTTGGTTGGTCGGCAACTTTTTATAGAGATTCTTTCGGCTGGATATAATAGTCCTTGAATCAAAAGCCAGAGTTGATAACAGCAGAAATTCCTTTTCATCAACTGACAACCCTTTTCCAAA